TTATATATATATATATATATATATATATATATATATATATACACACACACACACGTCTATCCCTTTATATTTCAGTTGTGATAAAGTCAAGTGATGCCAAATGGCTTGATGCATTAAAAGTATCATTTCAATAAACAAATGTTTTGCTGTGTTTTCTGTTCAAGTTTTCCTGTCATCCAGTAAGTAATGGGGTTTTTTTGTAGCTGTTGTAAGAGGTCCAAGTGTTTCTAGCATATGTAGACATCTCAAATACATATCCTATGTTACCAGAACAGAGAAAGTGACATTTTGCTCAGCATTTTGATATGTAGAGTATTTTTATTGACTTATAACGCTGATTACTTCAGTTAAGCAAAGATACTGACCTTGTGCAAAATGTTAAATGGCCAATACTAAAGTTCAGCCATGCTTTTCCTGTGCCTCTTGCAGAATTGTAGAGTTGCAACATTGCTCGTGTATAGAATTATGACTGAGATTTGCAGGCCATCCAAGTTCTTTTCAGAATTTCTGTATTGTAAAAGAAAGCTTGCATTATAACAGGAGTTGGTAAAGGCCAGCTCTTCTATTATGGATAAAATCTGGTACACACAATCAAAGGCAAAGTAAAGCTGCTCAATTTCCATCTGTCCTATGAGGTTGAAAGGGACTTAGCTTCAGGGCTATCCAACTGGAAGCCCAAGAGCTTGATCCAACCCACAAGGGGTTAACTCACAGGGCCTGGGCTCCCAGTTCAGGTGCCACTCCCTGCATCACTCTCCTGTTGCTGTCAGAGTCTCTGGTCTCCCCCTTCTTTCCTCCAGCTTCTGTAAACAGGTGATTGATACTTTGGGAAGCAGGAGTCTACTATTAATTTCACATTTTTTTGCCATTTTGTAAGAAAAGGATCATAGAATCAGAAGGTTGGAAGTGTCATGCAGACTAGGGCTGTCTAGCTTCTAAATGGCTAGGGTCCTACACTGCATAAGGTACAGGTATGCCTGCCCTACTGTGCTGGGCAGGGCCACTGGAATCCCTGGGCTTTGGCCTCCCAGGTACAGGAAGCAGAAGCTGGAGAAGGGAGCAGGAGCCTAACAGCAAGACAGTCATGTGGGTAGTGGCACCTGAACTGGCTGCCTAGGGGCCATGAGTTAATCCCTTGTGGGCCACCAGTTTGACAGCACTAAACTAGACTAACCTTTCAACCTCAAGACAGTTGAAAGTTAAGCAGCTACTTCTTTGACTATGTACCATATTTTGTCCATAATTTAAGAAGAGTTAGCCATTACCAAGTCCTATTACCATGCAAGCTTTGTTCTTACGGTATAGTCCTTCGTAAAACAGCATATCACATATGTTGAATTCTTGAGCCTTCCTCTATTTGTACATTAAGGACAAAGCATAACAATTTAATGCACATTTTTTTTCATTCTAACCAAGAACTGCATGTTCCTGATGATAATTTGAAGGCCCTCTGCAAAAGATTTACCCTGTATTGACAGTAAGCACAACAAAATGAGTGTTTTGCCTAGGGAGACCTGCCACAGTGAGAGATGGGAAAGGGTGTTAGTATTTTAGAGTGTCTGTGTAAAGATCATAATTTTCTTGCAGCTTTCCCATAATCCCTGTCTTCTGCCTACATAATGGAGAGCTTGAAAAAACCTTAACACCTGCTCAGACTTCAAGTGTGAAGTTGATGGTATGGCTGCAACTTATCTCCTTCATGGTTTCAGTGAAAGATTTGGGAAGCCACAGCAAGTGTGTTGTACTTCCTGGCTGTGTTCTCTTTGCCTCTCCTTGGGTTGCAGTGGGTAAAAGGATGAACTTTGCTAACCAGGAAAGATGCAGAAAAGAGAAATGGCCTAGAACTCATGGTTTTATCTGTGATCAGCAATAACCTCACGTGCTCTTACAGATATGTAGTAATTGAAGAGTAAGTCACCTTTCTCCTCTCTGCTATTGTACTTTGGAAAAGACTGCCACACAGTTTTCTGTGGCTCTTAAATAGAGTGCATTCGCCTAACCTGTACATGGAATGGTTCCATGTACAAATACTTCATTACTTCGTAAGAAGAACTCAGGCCTGTAGAAACAGATTATATTGAGTAGTGTCTGTCTGCACTGAGACATTTGTGCATGCTTCACCTGATTTTTCACACAACATTATCAGCTCAAAGGAATTAGGTTATTCCTCAATTGTATTAAAGTGGCTTATACTTCTGACTATTGTTCTTGCCACCACTATCTTATCAGTTAAGGAGAAGGGTAAATAGGTCTACCAACCTAAAAGCCTGGCAGCCCCTTTTGGAAATTGGCAGAAAGATGAGGGTGTTAGGAGTCTCTGCTTCTTCTCAAGAAAGTTGTATGTGGAACAGAACCTAGCTGTCTTGTGCCCATCCAGTAAGCAGAATTGGTTTTACCCATCAGTTTGTTTTCTAGGCCAGGGCAGACATTCAAGAAGCCTGAGCCTGAATTGATTCAATCTTTGCAGGTTAGTCTAACCTGGCTAGGCTGAACCGGTTTGTAAGTGGACAGACATTCTCTCTGGACTGAGGAAATTTAGGCATATGCCTGCAGTGGCTCAGGCTAGAAGCCAGGGGGCGCTAGAGCAGTGCTCCCATCCCTTTCACAGTACTGAGCTGAGGGGGCTGGGCATGGCCAGGCCCCCACAGGACCTCTGATTAGGGAGGTCTGCCTGCACAGTCCCCATTGGCTTTTCCCCACTGGCTGCTCAAGAGGCGGGAGTGTTGCTAGCCCCAGCCCCCTGCTATCAATCTGAGGAAATGGGTGGGGGGGTGCAGTGCATTCATGTGTTGATGTTACTGAGCTTTTAAATCTCCCTCTCCCTGCTTCTTTATACTGTCTGCAGCAAACTGACAGGGGAGCAAGCCAGCAGGGGGCTGATAACAGTGATTATCATCTCATCAGCAAAACAATAGGCTTTGTCCATTACTTCAACCTCTCTTTAAACAGCTTACTAGCTGACCTGTTGATTAGCTCCAAATAGCCCTAAGTGGTCACTGTTCTGTCTGCCTGTCCCAGTGAAATTGGAGAGAGACACACACAGCGACACCTCTCAGCATTAGCTAGTATACCACGTGCCTAGGAGCTGTGGAGCTGGGGTCTGTGCTGTGGAAGATGGAAGGGAGGGAGGCGGGATTCCTTCTTAAACAGCAAGGGGGAGGAGCGTAGGGCAGGGGGAAGCCAGGCAGACCCTGCTGTGTCTACAAGTCTGCTACAGCTCCGGCCAGCGAGCAGAGAGGAAGGGCCAGCTCTGGTGTGGAGCAGAGAACCCCCACCCATCCCAGAGAGCAAGTCAAGATGTTGGGTGTGTATGGTTTATCTTAAACCAGCAAGGGGTCTGGGACAGACATTGCATAAACCAACTTGAGCCAAATCAGTTAAGTCTGATACTGCATTCAACCAGGTTTGTATCTAACCGGTTTCAGCCATTTTCAAACTGGTTTATGTGCACTGAACATCTGTTCTGTTACAGATTTAAACCATTTTCTGATCACTTAAACTGGTTTATGTGTAATGTCTATCCCTAGACCTAATGAGAGGCAAACACTTTTGGCTGGGCTATCTCTCAGTTGGCTTCCCTTTATGTCATAGGGGTGGGGGGTTCCCACATTAGGGTCGCATGGGCAGTAAGGAGGAATGAGGCATAAATCTTGCAGGTAGAGAGGATCATTTTACATTTTCTTAGTCTTTCCCTTAAATCAGGCTGGCCATCTCCTTTGGGTTGCCAGACTGGATCTAAAATGCTGAGTTTCTTGCAAGTCATATGATCCACATCTAGTGGCAGAGCAAGCAGCAGTGGCGTTAACCCTGCATGTTGACCATACTGCCACCACTTGCCCTACTGCTGAAAGGCATCTCCCGGGGGATCTCAACCTAGAAATTTGGCAGTGGGGTCACCAGCACCCATGCAGTTAGTGTCCCTGCCATTTGCCCTGCTGTTGCTGAAAGATGTCCCCAGTGAGGAGCTCAACCTGGAGATTCCCCAACAGATTAAGTATCAGCAGTGATAGCCTCACCTCCAAAGTGGTTGTCCTACCAACACACTGGTTCTGGCATCCATAGCAGTTGACACCACCAGTGCTGCTCGCCCCACTACCAAGTATCTGGCTTCAGAGACTATGAGTAACCATTTGAACAGCCCTGCCATAGATTGATCTGCCTGCCATAAACATTGTTGTGGTCTAATATAAACACAGCAATCACTTCTACTCTATTTCTGAGAATAGAGACAGTTTAAAAGTTATGCAGAAATTGCATTGTTATCTTGATGGAGTGAACAGCCTTGCATTCAGTGCTGTATATTTTACAAACTATATTTGTTGATTATGCTTAGCTGTTGCTGTGCAATGATGCCTCTGCCACAGACTCAGCCTTTACTTTATGATGCATTTCAATGTGATTGATAAAACTTCATTCTGAGATGACAACAATGGAATAGCACTGTTTATTGAAAGCTCTGTGACAGCACTTGAATTTACAGAAGTGGGTCAGATTTCTGCTGCAACATCAGAACATTAACACATATTTTTTAACAGTCTGTATTACATCACACAGGCTAACACTGACTTTACTTCAGAACAATATGAAACTCATATATTCAAATCGGTGAGCATATCTTTATTAGACTCAAAAGGCATCATTTGCAAAGTAGGAATATTAGAGTGTTCAATTTTGAAATTATGCTAAGATGCTATCATGTACATTAGATGAATTATTCTGTATCAGTTTTCTAATATGATTATGTCCCTGTTGTGCATGAAAGATCATTTATTCTTATTAAAAATATTTAGTATAAAAACAAGGAAAGTTCTTGTTACACAATATTAGGAACATATAAGTCAATAGTTACACAATGTGACTCTATATTTGGGTATAAGACAGGTCAGGGTGGCACCCTATGCCCTCAACAGAAGTTAATACCATGGCATGATTGGCATCTGAGGAATATTATCCTAAAAATCCCATGTCCTGTCATGCCAAACTTGTCACTTCTGGGATGGAGCATAATATTCCTTAGATCCCAGTTGTGGGACTGCTAGGACCAAACTGGATCCCAGGACTGTCCCCAGTCCAATTCTGGGAACTGGGCAAAGGGAAGCTGTTTCCTGGATCCCAGGCATACCCCATGTCTGATTGTGACAATCAGCTCAAGTCTTCAAGCCTCATACCAATGATCAGTTGATCATTCAGCATCAAGCATAAGGCAGTCCCATGTCTGCGATACATGCCACATTTTCAACTTAAGGTATGATTCAAACCAGCCACAAAGATGTTCCACATATAATATTGTAAGTGGAACATCTTTGTAGCTGGTTTTCCATTTTATCACACCATGAATTGGCTGAATCTGTGGCATGTTGCAATTTATGATGTGACTAGCATGTTAATTTTGCCATAGATGTAACATCTGCTACGGCCCTTAGAAACTAACAGCTTCAGAAAGGTCATAGTTTTTGTAGGTGACAGCTGACTTTTTCAGATTGTATGACCCCAGAGTTGGATTGGGGTTACGTTTATGAATCAAAGCAACTGAGTTGTCACTTAAGAAACATTATGTCTATCTGAAATAGTCTCTAACATACCACCACTGTGCCCTGCCTTCTGCCTGGCTTCAGACTAACACAGCTAACTACCTCTTCCTATTTGGGCATGAATACACTAAAAAACATGTGAGATAAGAGCCAACAGACAATGTAAAGAGCTTCTTGACTGCAAGAGAATTTTTTTGTTGATTGCATTGACTTATGGATGATAGTTGTGCTAGGTGGTTCTCTGCCCCCTGGAGACCAAATTAAAGCCTTTAAACACATGAAACCCTGATCATCAGTATTCAAAGTGAGCCCATGTGGGTTATAAAAGCAATTCATGTACTAACAATATAAAAGGAGGAGACAGAAAAATAACAAGAAACAAACAATCTCAGCAATATTAATGCAGTAAGGAGGTAGAGAATTATAATTGGAAACAAGAAGAGGAAATAGAAAAGGACCACATGAAAATAAAGACTTAAAAAAATGAGAAAAAGTAGCGAGATAAAAAAAACTAGAAGAGGGAAAAGGAAAAGTAGGGGTAAAGAGTAAAGGATGAGTGACAGCATGAAAGAAACGAGAAATAAATAGACCTGAAATATGATGTTTTTTACACAAAAAATGGCTAGAGACAAAGTACATAAATGATTTACCCAATTGTCCCTAAAATGGAGGAAGAAACTAATTTTGCTTTTTAAAGTTGAAAGCCACACTGTGTTCTCTATGACTTCAGCAAAACTCTAGATTAAACCATAGACTTATCCACTGTCTACTCCTGCTTTTTTTTCTTTGACTTCAACAGTAAGAATCTCTCCTTCTCCTGCTGTGGTGGAAGGAGTCATGGTAACGATAAGAGACTTGTTAGTGATTCCTCTATGCAAACCTGAGTTGGGTAGAGGCTGAGAATTTGCAAGCGGCTCTTCCTTTTGTTCATTTGGGGTTTGGGGTTCTGCTTCTGCCTTGGGTTTCTTTTCCTCTGGGTCAGGTTTCTTTTCCTACAATAAGGAGTTAAATATTTCTTTATAGTGTGTGGAGACATATATTATGACATGGATACTCTAATTAAAAATGGGGAGTTGCTAATTTGAAAAATTAAAAAAAAAACTTCAGGCAGAATTAAAATAGAAAGATTTTAGATGAATAAATTAAATTAAAATGTTTTGTGTCAACCAGAAATATTTTGTATCACACCAACTTAAAAGTTTGGTTTCATTTTTGTATTACCGAATAAAAAAGATATTTCTAAATGAAAATGTCAACAGTTTGTTTTGAAATTTCAAATCAAAATATTTTGTTTCAAATTCCTGGATAGTTTCTGTCCTCCTCAAACTGCATTTTCCAGTGAATTTCTGTTTGGCACAAAGAAAGAAAAGAAAGTGAGAAGTTTGAATGGACAAGTTAGGCAGTGTCCTGGTATCAGACAGATCATGCTGGTCATGTTAGAATAATGTTTTCCAGGGGCATCAGGATATTCTTAAAATTCAGATAGCTCCAGGGCTTATACAATCACTTTTTATCTGTATTTCTCTTTTTTCTTTTTGCTGCCTCTTCTTTTCCTGCACACAATGTGAATGCAGTAATGGGCCATACTTTTGAATAGCAATGGTACAATGGAAGTTTTGCCATTAACTTCAGTTGGCCTAAGTCATTTTGCTATTGACTTTAGTCATCCATTCTTTTTGCCCACATTTCTCCTTGCTTATCTCTTGAGCACTTGGAATAGCCTACTGTATTTGCTGTGGTGTTACCTGGTCTGCTTGCTTTATCTTCAGCTTGAGCAGCATACCAATGCTTCCTTTGCTTGAATTTCCAAGTAGTGCTCTGAACAGCTTAGGAGTTTGGGGTTTGGGGCCAAATAAGCTAGCCAAACCTCTTGCTTGCTGGTTTGGACCATCAGTAGGCTTACCCTTCTCCTTAAGCAGCACCCTGTAGGCAGAATAGACAAGAACATACAGCAGTGAGATCCAACAGGTGTCATGCTCAAAATGCTCAAAATAACTTATCAAATTAGAGCAAGTTTTTCAGGGTCATTTTCGTCCCAACTTAGAGCCGCCAAAATTTGGTGGGAAGTTGTACAAGGTGACTTTCAGCAGTGTATGACTCTGTGGCAAACTACTGACTGCTCTCTGAATTTTGAAATCCATTTCTTCCATGCATACTTTAAACAAGGTCACATAAAAGAAGAAGGTGGTTGTGTGGTGTAAAATGAGAAGCAGGTGTATCAGAGTATATTCTCCATTACTGCCTCTGAACATATTGTTAAGCCAAAATTATCTTCTGGCCAGTGCTGCAGATAGCCTGGGGGTGCTGAACACTCATTCTGCTAGTAGAATTCCCCATAGACTCCATGAATGTGGAAGCTGGGGCAGGGGGCAATAGGGGTTGCCTTCCTCAAAAACATTGGATGTCGGGTGCAGCCAACGCTGGAGATTTTAACTAGGGAATGCTGGAACTAATGCTCCTGCTGGAACTAAAATCTTGAAGGTTGCTGGTTAAAGGGTCTTGCCCCACTGCTCAGGGGCAGACTGATCACTGCATTTGGGGGCAGGAAGAAATGTTACTCTATGGTCAGATTGACGGGGACTATGGGTGGTTTTTGCCTTCCTCTATACTAGGGGGCCTGGTTCTCTTGGACTTCTCAAGTGTATTTAAGAACCCTTGCAGAGGTGGGGCTTTATCACAGGCTAAGGTGTTCTTGGTTTGGGGGGCTAACACACTTTTACTTGTGTAACAGCATTGTTTCTTAATTCTAGGAACAAATAGAACAAGCACTTTAACAGAGGGTTAAATTAGCTGATTTCCAGAGGTATCTTCTAGCCCTTCTCTTCTAAGACTGTGTGGTACTATGCTGCAACATGTGTCCCTGTTGGGTGCTTGGTCAGAAAGTGATAGGTTGATGCCTTTGTTTTCAGTCTCCTTCACTAAATTGTCATTTAGAAGATGAAACAAAAGCTTCTGAATTGCCAGTGAGATACAGTATCTTAATGACAACTCATTTTTCTCCCTGTTCCATGCTGTGCCTGATCACTGGTAAAAAGATGATGGAGTTACAGTCCAGTGGGTAGTTTTGTCAAGAATGTGCAAGGCAAACACTTTTGTGCTAACAAAAGGAAGAAGTTGTTTATGTAAGAGAACTGCAGATACAGGTAAGAGTTCGGGATAGCAGGTTGAAGCAGTGACAGGGAGCTAAGTACCATGCTGTAGTTCCTGTTAAGGGAGTACATAGTTGGTAGGCCAAATGTCATCTGTACAGAGCTGCACAAATTTGGTTTCTTGATGCCCAGGACTATTTTAGTACACTAAAATGCAGTGGGACCCATGCTGCTGTCATTGCTTTCTAGCGTTTGTCCCTTGAAGTCCTGGAGTACAGGGACTGAGCAGTGCATTTTCTGTTTTGGTTTTGTTGCCATTAATTGAAAAAATGCCAGTTTATATGATGAATTCACACAGTCTACTAAAAACACTGCAAATAAGCAGCAAGCAAACAATGGGACAAATTTATCTTCAGGGAAATGCCTTTTACCTCAGTTCAGTTATGTCAGGGATTAATTTACACCAATAATTCATTCTTAGATAATAAATTATTGGTCTAAAGAGTGACACTGTTAGCCAATGCAGTACTATTAAAATATTTCATTGTAGCCCTTTCATGAAAGAACAATTGACTTAATTCCAAAATCTTGCACAACTGCAAATCTCCATCTAAGCAGTGCATATCTAGGTGTATCTCCTGTTTGTGTCCTTACCTAGGATTTTCAAAAAGGATGGTTGGCCACATGCAGACATAATGTTTTGGTGAAGGGAGGCTGGCAAGCTGTGACATATGGCAGGAATCCAGAAACAAATAGTGGAGAATTCATTAGTTCTCAAATGAATGATGGACAAGTAAGTGATGGACAAGAGACAGGATAGAGGATTTTTTGGGACAATCAGCTACTGAAAATATCTGTATACACAGACTTGCATTGTATGTTTTGCAGCAGGCCTCATGTCCTTTTCAAAATTAACCTCTCCTAAGTCTACACAACACAAAGAAATCTGCCATAGAAGCAGATGCCCTATCATGGTCTGGTGGTCTTATCCAAGAATTCCTCCTCTTCTCCCTCCCTCTCTACCTTTCACAGGCATCACAGTAGCTCCTTTACCCCATCTTCCTATCCACCATTTAAGCTTGGTGGCTCAGTCTGTGAGCAGTAGTCCTCTGGGTAGCAAGAATCTCACTTGTTACTTTTCCAGATACTTGTTTATGTTATGGTCTCAAGAGTGGCTAAGTACATATCCCTTAACTTCAGCTAAATTTTGGAGTTTGGTATTAGCTTGCTGAAAACTAGCTTGCTCTTTATTCTACTAGGGGCCTGAATCAGCTCCAGTTGACATGGAATTAATTTGTCACTCATCACCACTGCATTATAAGTCAGAGTCCAGTCCTCAGGGGGCCTTCCTTCGTACTAACTACTTACCTCTGCTGCTCTGGTTCCTGGGAAGCAACTGTGTCTGAGTGGGATAAGTGGGAGTAATTCATTGGAAGACTGGAGGGAGCTCAACACAGTAGACCCAACCATAGGAACTTTTCCCTTATTAAAATGTCATTCCTGTGCTTTTCTCTGTTTTCTCTTGGAGTGTTTGTGGGTCTAGTAGATGCAACTTGAGAAGTGCCTGGGCCATTATACCAACCCCAAGCCACAGTAAATAGCACTAGGTTAGTAGTCCAAGCATTATAAAAGCATTAAATGTTTGCCAGTGCTGTATTCATAGATTCATAGATGTTAGGGTCAGAAGGGACCTCAATAGATCATCGAGTCCGACCGCCTGCATAGGCAGGAAAGAGTGCTGGGTTCAGATGACCCCAGCCAGATGTCCATCCAACCTCCTCTTGAAGACCCCCAGGGTAGGGGAGAGCACCACCTCCCTTGGGAGCCCAATCCAGACCTTGGCCACTCTAACTGTGAAGAAGTTCTTCCTAATGTCCAGTCTAAATCTGCTCTCTGCTACCTTATGGCCATTATTTCTTGTGACCCCCAGGGGCGTATTGTTGGACTTAGTTGAGTCTTTTCTGAATGCAGTCTACAAGACCTTGTTTTCATGATTTGTTCATAGCTTGACTGCTGGTTGTACTGACCTTTATAAAATTTAATTGCAAAGTTGTAGGTTTTTAAAATGCATTGAGGTCTGGATCATTATTATATGTGCAGCTGAAAATGACTGAGCAACACTTAGACTGCTCCCAGGCCTCCCAAACCCAAAGAGAAGTAGACAATTATAGAGGTGCAGTGAAAACAAGCTGGAGACACTTAAATACATTTTGGAATCTCTGTGCACCAACCCACACACACCGCCCAAATCTGAGCACATTCTTGTCAGACTTAACTTTAAACTGGTTTGTGCATGTCTTATAGCTTTCAGAAATGCTCATCAATTTATGGCTGCAAAATATATGTATCTGTAGACCTAATTATATACACACAACTGCATGTTTAAAGAACTGGTTTGTAACTAACAACCACTGTACAGTATCCTGTTGTTTCCTTTGCATGACAAGGCAAGGTTCTGGTTGGGTACATGGAGTCCTGTTAATGCTTCTGAACCATTTATGGGTTTTCATACCACATGGAAAGGGACTGGCCACCTTGCTATGAGAAATCCACAAAAAGTTATCAGAATAAGTCCACTTCCAGCAATAAACAACTTGATTTTTCTTAAGGAATGTATGTAAGTGTCTATTAGTCAAAATTATTAAATCCGTATCCAAAAAAGAATTGATTTGTTGGAATTGCCAGACACACACCTTCCCTTCTTCATCAGGATCCTTTTGGAGTCAGGATAGTGCACCAAGATTTCATGGAGGCTCTTCTTGTCTAGAATAAAAAGGTTGGCAAATCCATGTGCCACCACATTAGCAGTCCGTCGATTTCCTCCACCTGCTGCTAACAGACTGTAATGAGAGCAACATTGACAATAAGGCATAAGTAATAAGTCTCCTTCCAGGTGTTTTTCACTGAATACAGCGAAAACAGTTCACATTCACTCACATTTACAAGGTGTTTTCTCTAAGAAACTGAAAAGTCTGCCTGAAGAACTGAAAAATAGCTTTGTGTTAAGTAGGCAAACATCAGCTCATAAATAGGGACCTACTGAATTGGGAGCAACTGCCCCCCGATTTTATGGTCTAAGCATGGTGCCAGTTGCCATTTTTGTGGTGGAGCACATGGAGCCCCTCCCCACCCCCAGCCTCTGGTCAAGGAGCCCTGGAAGTCCTGCCCCTCTCCATCTGTCACTCTTAGGGGAGGGGTGGGACTTCTGGGGCCCCTCGGCCAATCAGAGGCATGGGGGGAGCTGCCACACACCACCACAAAAATCTCCCTCGTCTCCCCCCCACCCTGTACTTCAGCACACCAGGGCTTCCTGCCATTTTCTGTTTGTAGCTCCCTTCCTGCCCTGGTTTGATGGACTTTTTCCTAGTCCCTTCACTTTTTTGCAGGGGACCTACCAATTTCACAGTTTCTGCAAAAATTGCAAAATCACAATTTCAGTAGATCCCAACTCATAAATGGTCACTGTTGTACTAGCAGTGCTGGAAATGTGAAAATCCATGTCTTGGGATAGAGAAAGACCACTCAGCTGCCCCTTGCTTCAAGCCTGTCACCCAATTTAGTCTCAAAGTTTCCTACGTTCCACATAATTTGGCATTACCTCATTTTTATTGTTGAAAACGTCAACATCAGAAATAAAGAATCATCAAGCTAAATTATAGAAAGAGTCATTTACCCTAACTGAATGACTCCCTCAGCGAGTTTTATGTTTCTTACGTGAATAACTGTTTGTCCCTGACTTCAAAGATTTTCTCACACACCACACTCCACGTTTGGACCTGGGCAGGTTGAGTGGCATGTATGGGGGAGGTCTTTTCCCCTGACAGCTTGTGAATTGTCTGTCTGAAGGAGACAGCTGGTTGTTTTGGAAGTGATAAAACAGAGGCGCTTCGCTAACAAGAGTCAGGCACGAGGAGTTGAATATCCAAATAACATTTTATATACTTCTGCACATACAAAGCAAGGAATTTCTTATATTCAGCAAACAAAATTCATAGATTCACTTTGCTGTCCCATGTAGCAGCAAATGCCATGTGGGACTGTGTCAAAAGCCTTGCTGAAGTTCAGGTGTTTTATGTCCACCACATGTCTTTTGTACATCGAAGTCAGTCTGTCAGAAAAAGAAATCAAGCTTGTTTGGCATGATTTGTTCTCAGAGAATCTTTTAATGGCTGTGTGTGATTACCCCTTCCTCTTCTAGGTGCGTGATAATAGGGATAAAATGTTAATCTGAAGTCAGTTCCTATAAATTAGTCTCTGTCTCTAGTTTCCTTAGCTGCAAACAGATGTTGCATTTATCCTGAGACAAAATGCAATCATACAAATGTCCACGTCCATTGTCCCAAGGTAAATCCAAAAATAGTTTCCTGAATAAGAGGTAATAATAGTTTATCCCAGGATATTGCAATGTATGTCTGCACAGTTACATCAGGATAACATCACTGAATCAATAGCAGAAAGGTGGCACTTTATTCAGCCACTCACTAAACCCTGGTTAGAAGGATGTTGTATGTACCTACCAATCCCAGAATATTTTTGTTTTGGCAAAAACACAGGCACAACTTATCCAGAGACAAGTGTAACATCTGTTGAGAATTAATATTGATAGCAAAAGGCCCCATTTAAACACAAGACTTAAATTAGCCCCTACATGCAGTTTAGCAAAAACATGAATATATTTTAAAAGTTTGTAAGTCCTTGAAATGAACCTTAACTTTTCCCTCTTCTTCTCCCAGAGAGATACTTTAAAGGATAATTTATATGCATTTTTAAATAGTAAGAATCCTCTCCCGTCCCCTCCTCCCCCCAATTTAAAAAGAAGGGGAAAAGCTGTTGATATGTTAATGTAAAGAAGTTCTGAACCAGAGATCAAAAGGAAACCAGCAAAGTTCAGTACCATCCTGATGGGCAGTGTTGCCAAGTCCACTTATTACAAGAGGAATTGGGCTTGTTTTTTAAAAAGTTACTTTAAGTTTTTGAGAGTCTCAAGTTGATAAGCATCCCCACTCCCCTCTCTGAAATGGGTTGAGCTTGTTTGCGGCTTGTTTTTAAAAGCAGTGCCACTTTTTTTCTCTTGGGAATTGGCAACACATCACTCAAGAAGGTAGGTGGATTTTTAACAGCGGAATTTCAGCTGATTTAATTTGTTAAGGAATGCATGTTAATTTTCCTATTACACAGGACCTGGAGCATCTTGGCAGTATTTATACAGTGACCTGTTGTAGAAATGCATTATTTCAAGCATGTTGCATGTAGGCAATGTGGATTCCCAATGACATGCTGAGCGATTTTTCTCCAAATGTGGTGTCATCTGCCTGCTGATGAGTACCTCCTCCTCCTCAGATCAATTCATTGCCTATTGTTTATGCTGGGGCCCCCAGCCTGGGGGCTGTCTGTTAGTGTCCCTGGAAGGATAATATGCTGTTGTCAGGAAAAATGTTTATCACTGGTGGGGATTTTTCCTACTGTAATGATGACAGTGGAAGAGAGGGTAACTGTGTGTTGGGAATATGACCTTGGTTATTGTGCACACTTCATGGAAGCACCCCCCTTGACATGTTTTTGCTGGTTCAAAAGTTTGAATCCCCATCCTTTCCAACTTTAGAAAAATTAGTGAAAATATCCCTGTTTTTTCCATTGAAATACAGGAAGGGAAATGAGGCCAACTGTTTTCTTAACAATTATTTCTTACTTAGGAATAGATCAGTGTTTATCTGACATCCCATTGCCTAATTCAAAAGTTGGTAAGTGAAGAGTAAGAAGCTACTTCTCTCTGACTTTTTGGATTTTTTCAGTTGAGGAAAATTCCCTAAAAGAAAGAGGAGTGATGGAAATAATAGGAGAAATTGGTCGAGGTTGGATGTCTGGGGATTTTTTTCCATACCTACCCATTAGTGAACAATGACAGATTCCTAACCTTTTCTTGCAGTTTATAATTCAGTATTTTGAGTTTTATTGCTCTCTTCTTATACTGTCATGAAGAATTGATTAAAATAATAGCTTTTTCTCAAACAGCTGGTATAGTTTTATTTCCCTTTATCTGAAAAAACCCTGTCTCTATGAGAAACTTTAGATCAGGTTTTTGCTACTTGTAGATTTGAGCATTGGCAAAGTACTATGTTCATGTCTAAATAAATTGGCACACTTCCACTACAACAAGGAAAGCTGCAAGCAAAGGAGACATTTAAAACTGGCACAGAACTGTTTACTGGTTTTCAAAAGGTGGATTAAAGTTACAGTAAGGGGATTAACAATAACAGGGTGGCAGCTGGGAGAAATCAAGGTTCATATGCAGCAGCACCTGGATTCAGTTATTACTCTTTCCTCATGCAGACCTCAGCAGGAGGTGCACAGGCTTAATCATAGTGCCGGGCTTTAATAAGAAGGTTGTGTGACACAAAAGAGTTAATATATTTGGCACAGCAACTAATTAGAAAACATGAAAAATGTACATGGTATGTGAAGAAGAATTCTTTCTCTCTGTCTCAAAAAAAAGGGAAAAGAAAAGACTGCCAGGTGTTTGTTTTGTTTTTTCCTCTTAAAAATATACTTCACTAGCATTTTAAAACCTGTGCATCTGAGGTTCAGCTTCTAAATCTATATTTAGACTCATAAATAACCTGAGATAATTTGCTATTTTAGCTCCGTGTTTCCTAGTAAAAAGAAGAATTCATTTGCATTATCTGGGCTAGCAACAGACATTCAAAAAGCCAGAGCCTGAATTGATTCAGTCTTTGCAGGTTAGTCTAACAACCTGTGTAGATTAAATTGATTTGCAAGTGAACAGACATTGCCTTTTGATTCCAGGGATGCAGCACAGGCCTGCAGTGGCTCAGGCTAGAAGCTGAGGGACACAGAGCAGCCCTCCCTTCCTTTTGGCAGCAGTTGCAAGGCTGGAGTACAGCTGATTGGCAGGGGGCAGAGGGGAAGCTGGCTTGGCCCAGCGGGGCAGTTCTGCTCCCCTCACAGGACGGGGTGTGGTGGTGGCTATGGCGGGTGGCTGCTGGGCTTGGGGCCCACCAGTCCCTCCAAGCCGCCTGAACAGCCCATTACCTGGCCAGAACCTGCCCATGCTGCCAGGCTGGGCTGTCACAGAACCGCAGCCACTGGGAACGGCCCTGCCCAACCAGCTGCAGGTCCACTACAGCCCCATTCGGTCTGGGCATGGGGGGCTGAGAGCAATCTGGCCACGCAGCCTCGCCTGAGCTGCAGCCCACTGAGAAGGGCCTGGCCCCCACAGCCCAGCCTGGACTGGCCCCTCCACCTCTACTCAGCAGCACCCACAGGGCAGCCCAGCTCAGCCCCACAGTCCCAGGCACTGGTGAGGCAGGTGGATGGTGGGGCCATGCCGGCCGGCTTTGGCCACGCTCCCTCACCTGCTACTGGAGTCAGAAGGGCAGGAAATGGCAGACCTGGGCAGGGCAGGAGACAAGGGGGGAGATTAAACGCCACTCCCTCTCCCTGTTTGCTTCAGGCTGCAGATGGGGGGCCTGACAGGGGCTGCTGCACCCTGGCCAGGCAGACCCCAGCTGCAGTCCCTCAGTGGGAGGGGGAAGAGAGGGGGGAATAAGCCCCCTCTCTGCTCCCTTTGCCTCAGGAGGCCATGCCAGTCGGTGTCTAGCCACACCCCACTGCTGCTTCGGCTAGAGAGCGGAGGGGCAGAGCCAGCTCTGCTGTCTGGAGCAGACAACGCAGCCCAGCCCAGCTCAGGGCTGAAGAGCATGCTGGGATGCTAGGGAGCTCTGGTTTAACTTAAACCAGGAAGGGGTCTGGGACAGAAGTTCCATAAACCAGTTTGACCCAAATCAGTTAAGTCTGATACTACATTCAAGCAGGTTTATCTTAAACCCATTTCAGCCCTTTTGAAACTGGTTTATGTGCACTGAACGTCTGTTCTGTTACAGGTTTGAACCAGTATCTGATCACTTAAACAGGTTTATGTGTAACTTCTGCCCATAGCCCTGGTGTGTGAAGGCATCTTATGTCACTGTACAAACAATAAAACAATTAAAATGGAACAATTATTCTTTTAGAATGGTCCAGCGAGTTTTGTCTGGTTCCAGTTTAAGAACACTCATTATGCATTATTCACCCTCTCAGATCTCACTTCTTGAAAATGTATTCTTGATGATTCCATTAAATTTTCCTTTGCACACTTTCATTTCCTTGGTATTTGTCTTTTTGGGTTATCATACCCCAGCAGTTCTTAATCAATTATCTACATCATGAAAACTTTAAAGTCAGATACTCTTTTTGTCAACCTGTCTGCTCTCATCCCTCTATCATACCTTCCCTTCAGCAGCCATCCGGCTTACTATGAAGTTACATGAAATAAATACTATTCGCTAAACGTTTTCCTTACTGAATGACAACCATAGTTGTGGAATTACAGTCTTAAAACAGATTTTTATGTTGAGCATTTGATCAACTTTAAAAAATAGCACTTAAAAACAGTTATAGGAGTACCTGATCTCCCCAAATACTGCTCCTGCTTTCAGGGTAACAAGGATTTTTGTGCTGTCAGGGCCTCCAAGAACATGAACTTCTCCCTGTTTGATGATGTACATCTCTCTGCCAATCTCTCCCTGAATGCACAAATACATTAGAAACCTCCTGTGTTTCAGCAAAGTAACAAACACTTTTTTGAGTAGTCTGACAAACATAACTTAACCAACCCCATTTGTCATATGTAAATTTACCACTTTAATGCAAAAAGAAAGATGATTTTATGATATCCCAACTCTCATTGAGTAACACCTTATTCCAGATGCAGTCCTACTAATGTTGATACCTACTGAAGTATTGTGAACTATGATTCAGCATCAGTAAGGAAATCCGTGCCATCTATGGGAAGTTGCCATATAATTAACATTGTACTAGTTAGCTTTCATTGGCATGAATTAATTCTGATGGCATCTGAAGTGATTCAATAATATGTTTAACAGAAGACAGTTTATGAAGAATTTTGTGCTTAGCTGTAATTCAGCCTTTTTATTTCTAATCATCATTTACAGAACTTAAAAGGAATATCAAGAATAATCAACTAACCAAAGCTCCTACTGTTTCTTGTATATTTACTAGCCAATTGAAGGTTTTGCTAGCTGTTTAGTTAGTACCCAAATGAAGTAGATTTTAACTGAATATAAAGGATTGATATAATTAGCATACATAATGAAATGCAGCTGTATCAAAGTAATTTAATGGGTAAAAGGACAGTGTGATAGGATAACTAGGTATATATTACAAACATTAACAGTCCTCACAACATCCTTGTGAAATAGGAATAGAGATATTATTCCTATTTTACAGATGTGAAAACCGAGGCAGAGAAGTGAACTGACTTTAATAGAGCAATACTACAGTTTGATGGCTCTTTGATTAGCTTGTGAGGATTTGATTTTTGGGGGTAAATGTTGCTAAATGGCATTTTCACCTCACACTTAGGGACCAAAGAAGAAACATTTCCTTCCTTAATAATAAAAATAGAGGGGAAGAACAAAAAGGAGTTGCAAACTGGAGTATAGGGGGCCAGTCTCTTTAAAGCTGAAATCAACAGGCAGCCTAATGACTCATCAGTTAAACAATTAGCTGCTTGTTCACAGGTTCCAGGAAGCAGCCTGGAGAGAGATAACAGGCTACTTAAATCCCTACCTAAAGCCCAGCATGAGGGGAGGGGAGGGGAGGGTCGGGTCGGGTCGGGTCGGGTCGGGTCGGGTCTTGGAGCTGGACTGGGAGTTCCTGATACCTGAGTGGAACAACTCAGGTGCAGAAAACTGGAGAGAAACTTTAAAAAGAGGTGAAGTAGCCTACTGGCGAGACTGGTACATGGAAAGAAAGACTGTAATTAGAAAGGATACAAGTTTTGGAGTTTTCTTGGCCTTTTCATTGTTTATTTGCCATCTTGGGGGCAGAAGATCTTTATGTTTTTAATTTAAACTGATAAAAATTGAAATAAATGCTTAAAATAAACATTGATATCAGTCAAAGTTAATAAAAAATAAAATTCAGATTCTGCCAAGTTTACTTTTAGAGCTTTTTAGGGCTTCTAATTCCAAACTCTGTGCTCATTCCTCTAGATAACATTGCCAGACTTAATGCTTTATGCAAGCTAATTGGGCAGCACCTGGTCTGCCAGTCTTTCCAGATCTCTGTAAATCCATTGGTGACTTTTCTTTAAAATTCTGTATGAGGATCCAGTTACACCTTTACATTTGAATTAATAGAAATTGGGTTAGCTCCTCAAAAAGTCCTGCTTTTTAGCTGTATACCATGCCTGAATGTCATATTTATGTAAAACACCATATTTATATCTAAAATTTAAGGATCATCTGAATCTAATTACAAGATCAAGGTCTTAATCTGTTTTTATCACTTGTGTATTATGGCCTTGTTACACCTTGCAGTTTGAGCTGCTCGGAGCAGTCACACCATATAGCTAAACCTTTGATTGTCCCTGACCAGCACAGCTGTGACTTGCCACTAGAGGGATGGTGAGCAGGGGCCTGACTAGGAGCCACAGCTGTGACTTGCCACTACAGAGCTGCTGAGCCAGGCGAGGCTTCTATCCCTGCTCTAGGCTGGGCTGTGTAAGAGATGGGTTGGGGGGTGGGAGGGAATGAAGCTGGGAGGCAAAGAGTTAATGGGATGGGGGTGGGTAATGAAATGGGAAGTGGAAAGGAAATGGAGGTGGGGAAAGGGTGGGGAAATGAAGGAAGTCAGCCACTGAAGGATAAAATAAAAAGTAAAAATAAAAATATAAAAAATAAAGAGAAAGTAAATTTAAGAAGGCCTCATGTTTTAATAAAGTGGAGTGTGGGGGTGCTGGTTAGGCTTCTTGGGATCACTGGGAGGTAGGAGCAGTGAAGGAAGGTGCTACTGGGGGAGCTGCTGCCCTGCCCCAGGAAGCCTCAGCTTATAGAGACCTGATCTGAACCCCTAGGTGTATTACTGGGTGTAACAACTTATTATTGTATTAAGGTAGTTCATTTAATGAGTTTGTTTGGCAATAAGAACATGTGTGGTGAGCAATTAATCTCAGGGTAAGGAGCCTTAATGAGGTGTAAACAAATCAGTGTGGGCTGTTCCAGCATGAATTAACCAGTATGCCTATGCTGGTCTAAGTAGTGCCTTTAATATTGAAAACCTAGCCTCGGGTAAATGGCTAGTGTTATTTACATGATTAAAACAGCTGCCCACTATACTGGGACTGTATCTGGGAATCTTGGAAAGCACCACAGATCCTACTGTCCTATATAAACACTGAACAAAAAGATGGTCCCTGTCCCAAAGAGCTCACTGCATTTGCTCGATTGCATCCCTCATACCCCATCTACCTTCCTCTTGTTATCTGAGGCCCCAACCATGCAGTAAGCTCCATGAAGCTCAGGCTAATGTTAAACTTCACAAGTCTCGTGGTAGGTACGTTGATTAGTCATTGAAGTCAATAGAAGAATTCCCAATGCATAAATGTAATTACATCATTAGCCTTTGCAGGACTAAACACTTCTGGGACAGGACCATGTCCCTGTATGTTGTTAAGCCACCTAGTGCATTGGGACCCAATTTGAACTGTGGCCTCAGAGTGCTTCTACAATACAAATATTTAAACAGATGGAGCATATACAATGTTTAAATTTGGGAACGTATTAGCATCACAGATTGTGCTCAGGAGCCAAATTTTGTGTTTATGTGTAAAAGTTTTTAACTTGTATCTTCTGTAACTCTTCTATTTTAAAATATTCCAACTTAATGATGTATCACCAGATAAGTTGTATGTATATAAAGCAGTTTCCCAGGCTACCAAAATTTTATTTGATAACGTAAGTAATAAAATCCATATTGTCTTGTTCCAGCTTGAAACTTGAAAGCATATTATTATTATTGTTGTTATCACTCAGAATATCATAATTATTCTATACTATTTAATTCACCCAGGATTAATTTTGTTTAAAGCATGCTCTTGACCTATATCTGAACTCTTCTTATATGCTTATTGCTCTTGTGTATGAAAGATAAATAGACAAGCTCACCTTTTTGCAGACAAAGTCACCAGGTAAATACACAATGGATTTCAATCTTAGCAGCACGTCGTAAATCATTTGAGTATCACACCCCTGTTAAAAATAATTACAATTGTGCTGTACTTGGTACAGTGGTTGAAATGATTACTGGTTCTTACACAGGGCAGCAAGAGACAGCTGTACAGGAGTGTGCTGAGCCAAGGTTGCAGGAGCCAAATGTGAAGCTTAAGCATCATAAAGATCAATTTCTTGAGGGCTGAGAAACTCCTGAAGCAACTACCTATTAAAGTATTTATAGAAACAGCCATCACTGTATTGTCTAAAGACCCCAACCCTATCTTTTCTGGGTTTTCACCTCATGAAATAATAGTCTAAATGTGAGAAGTCATTGCACCTGACACTCAGATTAGTTTTTGAATGCATCTAGTGTTGTAATTAAGCCTGAGGGAAAACTGCTGTAGTCTATTTTGTACTCTTTCCACTGCTTAGCCATAAAGAGCCACAAAACCATACTAGAAAATTCCCTTGCTGGACCTTGCATCCTGTCCCCACCGGACATAAAGGGCACTATTTTAAACTAATCCTCTACTGGTGTAATTAAGGGCCTATAGCAGTGGTGCTAAAGTCTGGCAGCAGCTCATAATAGGATCAAAGTAGGCCCTTGTTGGCCTTCAGTTTTATCAGCTGAAACTGAGTGTTGGACACTTCCCCTATTTCCTGAACCAAGAGGATTTAGGGGCAGGAGAAAATCCCACCCCTAGAGTGTCACAAAGTCAGAACTTCTGGAACAAAACCTGTGACATGGGAGACTTTCTTTTTTTTTTTTTT